GTTCAGGTGGTGCAGCTCTTAGTCACCTGAGCTCTTTGTTCAGGTGGTGCAGCTCTTAGTCACCTGAGCTCTATGTTCAGGAGGTGCAGCTCTCAGTCACCTGAGCTCTATGTTCAGGTGGTGCAGCTCTTAGTCACCTGAGCTCTTTGTTCAGGTGGTGCAGCTCTTAGTCACCTGAGCTCTATGTTCAGGTGGTGCAGCTCTCAGTCACCTGAGCTCTATGTTCAGGTGGTGCAGCTCTCAGTCACCTGAGCTCTTATGTTCAGGTGGTGCAGCTCTCAATCACCTGAGCTCTATGTTCAGGTGGTGCAGCTCTCAGTCACCTGAGCTCTTTGTTCAGGTGTTGCAGCTCTTAGTCACCTGAGCTCTATGTTCAGGTGGTGCAGCTCTCAGTCACCTGAGCTCTATGTTCAGGTGGTGCAGCTCTCAGTCACCTGAGCTCTATGTTCAGGTGGTGCAGCTCTCAGTCACCTGAGCTCTATGTTCAGGTGGTGCAGCTCTAAGTCACCTGGGCTCTATGTTCAGGTGGTGCAGCTCTCAGTCACCTGAGCTCTATGTTCAAGTGGTGCAGCTCTTAGTCACCTGAGCTCTATGTTCAGGTGGTGCAGCTCTCAGTCCCCTGAGCTCTATGTTCCGGTGGTGCAGCTCTTAGTCACCTGAGCTCTTTGTTCAGGTGGTGCAGCTCTAAGTCACCTGAGCTCTATGTTCAGGTGGTGCAGCTCTCAGTCACCTGAGCTCTATGTTCAGGTGGTGCAGTTCTAAGTCACCTGAGCTCTATGTTCAGGTGGTGCAGCTCTCAGTCACCTGAGCTCTTTGTTCAGGTGGTGCAGCTCTCAGTCACCTGAGCTCTTTGTTCAGGTGGTGCAGCTCTCAGTCACCTGAGCTCTTTGTTCAGGTGATGCAGCTCTAAGTCACCTGAGCTCTTTGTTCAGGTGGTGCAGCTCTCAGTCACCTGAGCTCTTTGTTCAGGTGATGCAGCTCTAAGTCACCTGAGCTCTTTGTTCAGGTGATGCAGCTCTAAGTCACCTGAGCTCTATGTTCAGGTGGTGCAGCTCTCAGTCACCTGAGCTCTTTGTTCAGGTGGTGCAGCTCTCAGTCACCTGAGCTCTTTGTTCAGGTGATGCAGCTCTAAGTCACCTGAGCTCTTTGTTCAGGTGGTGCAGCTCTCAGTCACCTGAGCTCTTTGTTCAGGTGGTGCAGCTCTCAGTCACCTGAGCTCTTTGTTCAGGTGGTGCAGCTCTCAGTCACCTGAGCTCTTTGTTCAGGTGATGCAGCTCTAAGTCACCTGAGCTCTTTGTTCAGGTGGTGCAGCTCTCAGTCACCTGAGCTCTTTGTTCAGGTGATGCAGCTCTAAGTCACCTGAGCTCTTTGTTCAGGTGATGCAGCTCTAAGTCACCTGAGCTCTATGTTCAGGTGGTGCAGCTCTCAGTCACCTGAGCTCTTTGTTCAGGTGGTGCAGCTCTCAGTCACCTGAGCTCTTTGTTCAGGTGATGCAGCTCTAAGTCACCTGAGCTCTTTGTTCAGGTGGTGCAGCTCTCAGTCACCTGAGCTCTTTGTTCAGGTGGTGCAGCTCTCAGTCACCTGAGCTCTTTGTTCAGGTGGTGCAGCTCTCAGTCACCTGAGCTCTTTGTTCAGGTGATGCAGCTCTAAGTCACCTGAGCTCTTTGTTCAGGTGGTGCAGCTCTCAGTCACCTGAGCTCTTTGTTCAGGTGATGCAGCTCTAAGTCACCTGAGCTCTTTGTTCAGGTGATGCAGCTCTAAGTCACCTGAGCTCTATGTTCAGGTGGTGCAGCTCTCAGTCACCTGAGCTCTTTGTTCAGGTGGTGCAGCTCTCAGTCACCTGAGCTCTTTGTTCAGGTGATGCAGCTCTAAGTCACCTGAGCTCTTTGTTCAGGTGATGCAGCTCTAAGTCACCTGAGCTCTATGTTCAGGTGGTGCAGCTCTCAGTCACCTGAGCTCTTTGTTCAGGTGGTGCAGCTCTCAGTCACCTGAGCTCTTTGTTCAGGTGATGCAGCTCTAAGTCACCTGAGCTCTTTGTTCAGGTGATGCAGCTCTAAGTCACCTGAGCTCTATGTTCAGGTGGTGCAGCTCTAAGTCACCTGAGCTCTATGTTCAGGTGGTGCAGCTCTAAGTCACCTGAGCTCTATGTTCAGGTGGTGCAGCTCTAAGTCACCTGAGCTCTATGATCAGGTGGTGCAGCTCTAAGTTACCTGAGCTCTATGTTCAGGTGGTGCAGCTCTACGTCACCTGAGCTCTATGTTCAGGTGGTGCAGCTCTCAGTCACCTGAGCTCTTTGTTCAGGTGATGCAGCTCTAAGTCACCTGAGCTCTATGTTCAGGTGGTGCAGCTCTAAGTCACCTGAGCTCTATGTTCAGGTGGTGCAGCTCTCAGTCACCTGAGCTCTATGTTCAGGTGGTGCAGCTCTAAGTCACCTGAGCTCTATGTTCAGGTGGTGCAGCTCTCAGTCACCTGAGCTCTATGTTCAGGTGGTCAGGTGGTGCAGTTCTAAGTCACCTGAGCTCTATGTTCAGGTGGTGCAGCTCTCAGTCACCTGAGCTCTTTGTTCAGGTGGTGCAGCTCTCAGTCACCTGAGCTCTTTGTTCAGGTGGTGCAGCTCTCAGTCACCTGAGCTCTTTGTTCAGGTGATGCAGCTCTAAGTCACCTGAGCTCTTTGTTCAGGTGGTGCAGCTCTCAGTCACCTGAGCTCTTTGTTCAGGTGATGCAGCTCTAAGTCACCTGAGCTCTTTGTTCAGGTGATGCAGCTCTAAGTCACCTGAGCTCTATGTTCAGGTGGTGCAGCTCTCAGTCACCTGAGCTCTTTGTTCAGGTGGTGCAGCTCTCAGTCACCTGAGCTCTTTGTTCAGGTGATGCAGCTCTAAGTCACCTGAGCTCTTTGTTCAGGTGGTGCAGCTCTCAGTCACCTGAGCTCTTTGTTCAGGTGGTGCAGCTCTCAGTCACCTGAGCTCTTTGTTCAGGTGGTGCAGCTCTCAGTCACCTGAGCTCTTTGTTCAGGTGATGCAGCTCTAAGTCACCTGAGCTCTTTGTTCAGGTGGTGCAGCTCTCAGTCACCTGAGCTCTTTGTTCAGGTGATGCAGCTCTAAGTCACCTGAGCTCTTTGTTCAGGTGATGCAGCTCTAAGTCACCTGAGCTCTATGTTCAGGTGGTGCAGCTCTCAGTCACCTGAGCTCTTTGTTCAGGTGGTGCAGCTCTCAGTCACCTGAGCTCTTTGTTCAGGTGATGCAGCTCTAAGTCACCTGAGCTCTTTGTTCAGGTGATGCAGCTCTAAGTCACCTGAGCTCTTTGTTCAGGTGATGCAGCTCTAAGTCACCTGAGCTCTATCGTCTATAACTCTTACAGTAAGCAAGTTTGGCCGCCCGAAGATAGACATTGATTCAACGTTGATAACAGTAGGAAAAAAATAATGTTATCACTCTACGGACAATGAAAGTCACATTTCAAGTTCGGCAGCAGCTGTTGGATCTCACAGTAGGAGACACTCATACTCAGAGAGGCGTGGTGTACGGTGACCCTATGACACTCCCCACACAGTCACCACTCACCATGCAAAGTTGTGTCAGGTTAACTGTAGAGGTGTGGCGGCCCCATCCTTGGTCAGACAGTTCTCTCTTGTAGACTAGAGAGGGTACCCGGCTGTGCCCAGGGGCCAGATTCACGAAAGCACTTACGCAAGCACTTACGAACGTGTACATCTTTCCTCAATCTTTGACGGCTTTGGTTACATTTATTAAACAGTTTACAAGCATGACTCTTCCGATTCAACTGTTGTTATTGTTATAAACATCCTCCTGGTGCTTCGGAGCTCATTAACTGTTTAATAATTGGAAACAAAGCCGCCAAAGATTGAGAAAAGATGTACACGTTCGTAAGTGCTTGCGTAAGTGCTTTCGTGAATCTGGGCCCAGGTCTCTCTTCCCTCTTCCCAACGCCAACTATCTCTCCTAATTCCCGCACTCTCTCTGATTTCTTTTTCCCTGCCCTGCTCTTCTTCCTATCTCCCTTCCCCTTTACTCCCCTCTCCAACTTTTTCAGCACAAGATCCCCCTCTCCTCTTCTTCCCTCTCCACCCTCTCTCATCTCTTCCCCACTTTCCACCAGTCTCCTTACCTTTCCACATGTCTTTCCCACTCTCGTTCCCTCTCTTCAAACATCTTCCCTCTCGCCTGTCTCCTTCCTTCTCTCCTCTGTCTCCCTGTTTCAGACAATGTAACATACCGGAGTGTAATATTTGCTATATTAAGAGGCTATATCCCCTTCTTAATAAGACCCATAAGACCAAACCCAACCAACCTATGTTGGCAGAGAGCACAAGGATAACACAATGAGGTGTGTGTAGGGAACCAAACAAAAGATTTCAGGAGGTCTTTACAAAAGAACCAAGGAATAGGCCAGAGTTGCGAGAAGAAAGGTCAGAGGAAACACTGGATGACATAGTAGTCATTGTGGAGCAGGTTAAAAAAAAAACACCGATTGGCTGCAGAGGAACTTCATTCACACACTAACTGATATTTTCAATAAAATACTCGAGATACAAAAAATCCCAGAAGTCTAGAAAACAAAATCTAATACAGCCACACTATTAAAAAGACGGGAGAAGGCACTAAATTACAGACCAGTGTGAATGACAAGTATATATTCCGCGCAACAAAAGGTCAGCGTGGATTTAGAAGGGAAAAATCGTGCCTGGCAAACTTGATCAAGTTCTATGACAAGGTTACTAACATGCAACAAAAGAGAAAAAGATCCGGAAAGATTGTATTTTCATAGACTGACAAAAAGCCTTTGATAGTGTTCCTAACAAGAGGTGCGCGAGATGGAGAAGCAAGTCGGGTTAACATGTGAGACACTGAACTGGATAAGAGAATACCTGAGAGAGAGAGAAGACAATTTAGAGTCACAGACTAAGACCTAAAGTCTCCAGTTGGAGGAGTGTGACAAGTGGAGTCCCCCAAGTCTCAGTCTTGGGACCACTACTGTTCATAATGTATGTGAATGGTTCGAGAAAAGTGAGCTCCTACGTGTCAATAGTTGCAGATGGTGTAAAGCTGAGGAGAAATGTAAAAACAGAGGAGGACTGCAGAAAGTTACAGGAAGATTGTAACAAACTCTTGGAGTGGTAAACAAATAGTTCCTGGAGTTCTGAACATAAGGATAAAACAAGTGGACATAATGATAACAGTTGAGAACACAAGGATAACACAAATAAAAACGAGGATAAAAGTAGTGAACACAAGGATAACACAAGTGAAGCACAAACGGGATAACACAAGTGAACACAAGGATAACAAAGATAACAAAATAAACACAAGGACAACAAGTATAACACAAGTGAACACAAGGATAACAATAATGAACACAAGGATAACAATAATGAACACAAGGATAACAATAATGAACACAAGGATAACAATAATGAACACCATAATAACAAAGATAACACAAGGACAACAAAGACAACACAAGTGAGCTCAAGGACAACAAAGATAACACAAGTGAACGCAAGTACAACGAAGATAACACAAGCGAACACAAGGACAAGGAGGATAACAGCAGTGAACACAAGGAGGATAACAGCAGTGACCACAAGGAGGATAACAGCAGTGACCACAAGGAGGATAACAAGTGAACACAAGGAGGATAACAACAGTGAGCACAAGGAGGATAACACAAGTGAACACAAGGACAAGGAGGATAACAGCAGTGAGCACAAGGAGGATAACAACAGTGAGCACAAGGAGGATAACAGCAGTGAGCACAAGGATGATAACATCAGTGAGCACAAGGAGGATAACACAAGTGAACACAAGGACAAGGAGGATAACAACATTGAGCACAAGGAGGATAACAGCCGAGAGCACAAGGAGGATAACAGCAGTGAGCACAAGGAGGATAACAACAGTGAGCACAAGGAGGATAACAGCAGTGAGCACAAGGAGGATAACACAAGTGAACACAAGGACAAGGAGGATAACAACAGTGAGCACAAGGAGGATAACAACAGTGAGCACAAGGAGGATAACAACAGTGAGCACAAGGAGGATAACAGCAGTGAGCACAAGGAGGATAACACAAGTGAACACAAGGACAAGGAGGATAACAGCCGTGAGCACAAGGAGGATAACAGCAGTGAGCATAAGGAGGATAACAGCAGTGAACACAAGGAGGATAACATCAGTGAGCACAAGGAGGATAACAGCAGTGAACACAAGGAGGATAACATCAGTGAGCACAAGGAGGATAACACAAGTGAACACAAGGACAAGGAGGATAACACAAAGGCATGGAGGATAACAACAGTGAGCACAAGGAGGATAACAGCAGTGAGCACAAGGAGGATAACACAAGGACAAGGAGGATAACATCAGTGAGCACAAGGACAAGGAGGATAACATCAGTGAGCACAAGGACAAGGAGGATAACATCAGTGAGCACAAGGACAAGGAGGATAACATCAGTGAGCACAAGGATAACGTACAAGAGAGTGAGGGTAAGACCAGAGATGACCTGTCCCTCACCTCCTAACTACCGCCTGAGACAACCTTGTGAGCCAGGAGCCAGGAGGGGGGCGGCGCTTGGCACACCTCGAGGGCAAACATTCACAAGGTGAATAATAAACAGGGGAGAAACCCCACCAAATCATTCAACAATGGCACTGCAATAGAATTGGCAATAGAGTGTATGCCATTGTACAATACGTCTGAGGACATCTAGATATCGTTGATCTGAAAGACACTAGCACTAGACGGCCTCGACGGAGACAGGAAGTCGGCGGTTTGTCTATGGTCCCTTTCATTTACTATGAGGATTTTTTTTCTGCTATGACGATCATATTGCAGAAGGGTTTAAACCGTGGTCGCTTCCATTTATTTCCTATGTGATAGTAATTTTTTTCAGCCCTTCAGGGGAGCCGGTCGGCCGAGCGGACAGCACGCTGGACTTGTGATCCTGTGGTCCCGGGTTTGATCCCGGACGCCGGCGAGAAACAATGGGCAGAGTTTCTTTCACTCTATGCCCCTGTTACCTAGCAGTAAATAGGTACTTGGGTGTTAGTCAGCTGTCACGGGCTGCTTCCTGGGGGTGGAAGCCTGGTCGAGGACCGGGCCGCGGGGACACTAAAGCCCCGAAATCATCTCAAGATAACCTCTTATTATAACTTATTCTCTGCAAATGGCGTCTAAATACTCACTGTCAGCATCATCACTCTTGCTTCAATTAGAAAACAGAACATCATCAAACTAGTCAATGAAACTGCTCGAACCCTGTTACTTGTATTATCTGTCCCTGTGGAATGAACTTCTATGACTAGTCCAGAGCACTCAATGGGATCCTCCTATTCCTCTAAGATTCTCACTGCAGGAAGATGTCCTTGTCCTTGTCCTTGTCCATGGTAACATTTGTCGGCAAGAACTGCATATTCCACCACCCAGTTATAGGTATAATACACTGTCATGCCTAGTGATGACCGGCTGTTATCTGCTTGACCAGATATTAGGAGAAATGCAAGTTGTTCTCACATGTTGTAATGCGGACGTTAATGCTGTTCTAACTAAATGCAGTTCTCATACAGCGGTTTGCTGACACAAAATTTTCCGGTGGCATCTGGTGATGGAGGTCAAGAATAAATTATAATAACAGAGGAAATAGAGGATTTCTAAGGGAACACAAATTAGTTAGCATGACATGTAGCCGTCACAACTGCAAGAAAAATGACAGATTGGATAACAAGAACTTTTCACACTAGAGATGCTATATCGATGATGATACTTTTCAAAACGCTTGTGCTCTCTAGAGTGGAGTACTGCTGCACAATGACAGCCCCTTTCAAAGCTGGAGAAATTGCTGACCTGGAGAGCGTGTAGAGATCCTTTACTGCTAGAATCCACTCAGTAAAAAATCTCTAAATTACTGGGACCGACTAAAGGGCTTAAATCTGTACACCCTTGAGCGCAGGCGGGAGAGATACATAATAATTTACACGTGGAAAATAATTGAGGGGCTGGTCCCAAACCTGCACACAGAAAAAACATCACATGAGACCAGGAGGCATGGCAGGATGTGCAGAATACCCCCGTTGAAAAGCAGAGGTGCAACTGGTACTCTGAGAGAGAACTCTATCAACACCAGAGGCCCGAGACTGTTCAACACGCTTCCGCTACACATAAGGGGCATAACTGGCCGACCCCTCACAGTGTTCAAGAGAGAACTAGATAAGCACCTCCAAAGGATACCTGATCAACCAGGCTGTGACTCAGAAGCAATGGGGACAAAATTGTAGTGGTGATCCAGTTCTCTGTACTTACGGAACTTTAAATCAAATCAAATCAAATATTTATTCAGGGTAAAAGTACATACATAGAGGATTAGTTACAAACATAATGTTTGATTTATAGATAGAGCTAGTACATACAATACCTAAAGTCACTAGTACGCATAACGTTTTGGACAAAGCTTGGCTGATTCCCTATGAGTGGCGGTGCCACCAGAAGTCGATGTAGGTGTGCAACACTGAAGTCAATGTAGGTGTTAGCCAGGGTTGATACGCACATGTAGTCCCATACCAACTGCTTGCCATTCTTCCAGGGGTTCACTGTGATACCATCCGGGCGACCAATAAGAGCATCAGAGTTACGGGGCGTTAGGTAACGGGGCTCTCTTTCAGCTGGGCATCCAGCTGTGGTGAGGCTCCTCTTGATGATGTCGTTAACTTCACTGTGCCTCGAGTGCCATCCCCCTGTGCTTTGGCAAAGTAGGCCATGGTGGCCGTACCTGTCAGCCACCACCTTGCCTCAAATACACCTATATTTTGTGTGGATTGTAGCAGCAAGGCGGAGGGACACAGCAATTCGGAGGGCGTGTTGTGTGAGGCGTGTGCCAGTTGCCGACATTGGGGTTGTTAACAGGAAGTCTTATGGGTAGAGAGACGTGTTTCCACTGTAGGTCATCGAGAGAGAGGTTGAGGGCTTTTTCTAACATTGAGTTCATAAATATATATAAATATGCGTGTGTCGACGACAGGAAGCTCATCGTGACACTGGGAGGCGTCGCCCGAGGCAGGTCTTAGAGTTTATGGAATCACAGTTATAACTGGCGGCTTTGTGTCTAGCTTGTTATCTCATAGTAAAACACACCAAGATAACATAAGAATAAACATAACATCTTCCCGGTTGTTGGGCTGTATTGTTGCTCCAAACATTATCAATGTTTAAAGTCACTTTATAAGAGTCGCGTAATACCAGCAGGATCTGAAACCTATTCTGGTGTAGACATTATTCCACCCTCTGCCCCCCCCCCTTCCCCTATCTCCCTCTCTTTCCCCCCTATTTTCCCTCCCCTCCCCTCTCTCTCCCCTTCTGCCTCTCACCCCTCTCTACTACAGTGTCACTAATCGTAACACTCTAGCATCACTTAACGCATGATTCAACATACAATTAACAAACGTCTCAGTCAGAAAATCATATTATCAAAGTTTTGTGGATATAAAGGGTAAGTGTCATGTACTCACACTCTCGTCAGGCACCACTGAGCAAATCCTCCGTAGGAGCCGTGATGAAGGTTCGAACCTGTGCGCCGGGTGTTGCCAGGCACATGCTCTAGAGTCTAGACAACTAAGCCACGACATGGTCACAAGACCAGTCGTGAGCTGGTTGTGTATAGCGTGTGCCTGGGAACATCCCGCGCACCGGTTCGAACCCTCGTCGCGGCTCCTATGGATTGGCTCAAATATCATGACTCTTTGATAAACATTAAACATTAGATATTATTCCTCTTTGTAAATGAATTGAGATATATTTATACATCAAGCTTCAAATTATTGGTGTATATGTCTGTGTATCAAGCTTCATATTATGGGTGAACATGTCTGTGTATCAAGCTTCATATTATGGGGTACATGTCTGTGTATCAAGCTTCATATTATGGGTGAACATGTCTGTGTATCAAGCTTCATATTATGGGGTACATGTCTGTGTATCAAGCTTCATATTATGGGTGAACATGTCTGTGTATCAAGCTTCATATTATGGGGTACATGTCTGTGTATCAAGCTTCATATTATGGGTGTACATGTCTGTGTATCAAGCTTCATATTATGGGTGAACATGTCTGTGTATCAAGCTTCATATTATGGGTGAACATGTCTGTGTATCAAGCTTCATATTATGGGGTACATGTCTGTGTATCAAGCTTCATATTATGGGTGTACATGTCTGTGTATCAAGCTTCATATTATGGGTGAACATGTCTGTGTATCAAGCTTCATATTATGGGTGAACATGTCTGTGTATCAAGCTTCATATTATGGGTGAACATGTCTGTGTATCAAGCTTCATATTATGGGTGAACATGTCTGTGTATCAAGCTTCATATTATGGGGTACATGTCTGTGTATCAAGCTTCATATTATGGGTGAACATGTCTGTGTATCAAGCTTCATATTATGGGTGAACATGTCTGTGTATCAAGCTTCATATTATGGGTGAACATGTCTGTGTATCAAGCTTCATATTATGGGTGTACATGTCTGTGTATCAAGCTTCATATTATGGGTGAACATGTCTGTGTATCAAGCTTCATATTATGGGTGAACATGTCTGTGTATCAAGCTTCATATTATGGGTGAACATGTCTGTGTATCAAGCTTCATATTATGGGTGAACATGTCTGTGTATCAAGCTTCATATTATGGGTGAACATGTCTGTGTATCAAGCTTCATATTATGGGTGAACATGTCTGTGTATCAAGCTTCATATTATGGGTGAACATGTCTGTGTATCAAGCTTCATATTATGGGTGAACATGTCTGTGTATCAAGCTTTATATTATGGGTGAACATGTCTGTGTATCCTTACCTTGAGGTTACCTTGAGGTGCTTCCGGCCTTAGCGTCCCCGCGGCCCGGTCGTCGACCAGACCTCCTGGTTGCTGGACTGATCAACCAGGCTGTTGATCAGTCCAGCAGAATCCACTCAGTAAAACATCTAAATTACTGGGACCGACTAAAGAGCTTAAATCTGTACACCCTTGAGCGCAGGCGGGAGAGATACATAATAATTTACACGTGGAAAATAATTGAGGGGCTGGTCCCAAACCTGCACACAGAAATAACATCACATGAGACCAGGAGGCATGGCAGGATGTGCAGAATACCCCCGTTGAAAAGCGGAGGTGCAACAGGTACTCTGAGAGAGAACTCTATCAACATCAGAGGCCCGAGACTGTTCAACACGCTTCCACTACACATAAGGGCATAACTGGCCGACCCCTCACAGTGTTCAAGAGAGAACTGGATAAGCACCTC